GCGAAAAGAGCATTCCATGAGATGGAAAATGGGAACTATTAACCCCACACAATGTTTGTGAATAAGGAAACGCCTTTCTAGTCCTTCACAATCTCCTCTGTCTCTCCACTCAGTCCCAACTTTGTAAATAGAAGCTAAAGCATTTAAAAAACCAGTCGAATAGGAAAAGAATTGTCGGAATCCTTCCAAGAAGGCGAACATTATTGAGTCAAAAGCACAATATTTAATCACAGGAGTCCATGAGCGCAGGTGTTGACGTGGGATAATTGCAGGACCCTGAAGCACGTGTGGGGGCCGCGCGAAGTGTGAATGCGGTCTCGTTTCCAATTAGGTGGCTAGGATGCGTGGGGGCCACATCACGTGAAGTGTTGAGGTGTTTCTGTTGCTCGCGACTTCTGGCCCACCCGATCTCATATTGTTATAAATATTTGGCTGCAGCCTTTCCTAGGGTTTGTGCAAGTACCAGGGGGAAGAGAATATTTGTGCGGCTGTGCAAAGGGGGCTCGGAAAATAAAACAGTGGGCATGTGCAAAAATTTTTTCGGCTGAGTGCAGAGGAGATTTTTTGTGTGCAGTGCTTTTGTTTTGCTTTTGAGAGATAATTGTGTAAGAGGTTTGAGAATTTGTGTGAGGGTTTAGATTGAGTGATTGTAAACCCTAGTTGTATTCTCTCCTCTCTAATAGTAGATCACCCCCCTCCTTGCCCCGTGGACGTAGGCAATTTGCCGAACCACGTAAAATTGATTTATTTGTGTTTGTGTCCATTGTAATAGTTTTAGGATCCCTCGACAAGTCAGTCCTAGAACTGATGAGAAGAAGAGCCGATATCTCACGTTGTTGAGATATTCGCTTCAGATTCTTGTCTCCTTGGTGAGACGGGAATTCTTATTGGGATCTTTCTCTATTATTGTGCACCAGAAACTCTGTCGAAATTTTTGCTGCGCACAACAAGTTGTATCAGAGCCCAGATTCCAGATCTAGGGTTTGGTTGGAGGAGTGAATCAATTTGGAGGCTCGTTTAGGGCTTCGTTGGTGATAAAGGTGGGATCTTTGGTAAAGACTCTTATCTTTTTAGTTTTGGATCTATTCTTTGTTCGTTGGTGCGTAAGATGTCGGGGAAAGAAGGTGCTTCGGGTGTCGAGGGCGGTGCTTCTGGCGCGAAGACCATTCAAAGTCTGAATATCCACTCTATAAGATAGATGTGGAGAAGTTTAATGGCACAAACAACTTTGGATTATGGAAATGCGAGGTTTTGGATGCGCTGAACGCGCAGAATTTGGAGGATACCTTGGAGTTAGATGGCAAGCCAGATGAGATTGAAGAGAAGGTTTGGAAAAAGATGAATCGAACGGCGTGTGGTGTGATTAGGTCTTGTTTGACTCAAGATCTAAAATATTATGTGATGAATGAGACTTCTGCGAAGAAGATTTGGGAGATTCTCGAAAGCAAGTATTTGACCAAGAGTGTGGAAAATCGCTTGCATTTGAAGATGAGGCTTTATCGTTTCCAATTAAAGAAGGGAACCTCCATTAGAGATCACATGAACCACTACACGAAGTTTCTTGCGGATTTGGCGAATGTGGATGTCATAATTGAGGATGAGGACAAGGCGTTGCTGTTGTTGAGTTCCTTGCCCGACGAGGAATATGAAACCTTCGTCCTTACTCTGATTAATGGGAAGGCATCTCTTTCGTATAGTGAAGTCACTGCTGCATTGGTGAATTATCAGCTTCGGAAGAAGGATAAAGAGACTTCGACTGAGTCAGTAGCAGAGGCGTTGGCCGCAAGAGGGAAGGGTCCAAACCGAAAGAATTGGAAGTCACAGTCTAGAGTAGGAAAAGATCAGTGTGCTTGGTGCAAGGAGACTGGTCATTGGAAAAAAGACTGCCCAAAGCTCGACGAATGGATGAAGAATAAGCAGAAGGGAAAAGGAAAGCAAACATCGTATCGGATGGTAATAATTCTGACTCTTCTATTTATTCTCTTTCTATCAATCCTACAGATAGCTATTCGGAGGAATCTGAATGGATGTTGGATAGTGATGAGACCTATCATGTGTGCCCTAAAAGGGAATGGTTCTCTAGTTTTGAGAAGCTGGATAGTGGTGTGGTGTACATGGCTGATAACCGTGCATGCCAGATCCTTGGGATAGGAAGAATTCGTATAAAAATGTTTGACGGGACTGTTAGGGAGTTAAATAATGTGAGATATGTTCCTTCTTTGAGGAAGAACTTGATCTCGATTGGAGCTTTGGTTGGAGAGGGTCTGAAGGTTCGTGTTGAGGACATGGTTCTCGAGATTACGAGAGACTCTCGTATTTTAATGAAGGGCGTCAGGAGAAATAACCTGTATTACTTGACTGGAGGTATAGTGGCAGGTGAAGACCTGACGACTTCTGTTGATTCGACTAGACTGCGGTATTTGGGGCTTGGCCATTCCAGTATTGATTCATCGCATAGATTGAAAGAGAGTGCGAAGACCTGCAGTTTGAAGTCCAGTGAACATGTTGATGTGAGCAAGAAGACCGAGGTGAAGTTTGGCACCTCTATTCACCGTGCTAAGAGTCGTTCTAGAGGAGTTCACGTGGATGTTTGGGGGCCTTTCAAGGGGGCATCATTAGGAGGTAATAGGCATTTGGTTTTCTTTATTGGTGACTGTTCTAGGCGTGTTTGGGTTGCAACCAAATCCCCTTTGGAGAAAGTCCTAGTAGTATCCAACAGATTGAAGAAGTGTGTAATAGACAGAAAGGTGAAGGTACTCCATTCTAGTGGGAGGTACAAGATGGACCTATTTCTGTATTGGAGCCGAGCTCACGGCATTTCGAGACACTTCATTGGAAAGGAAATCTTGGGGCAACTAGATAGGGTGACAAATTTGGAAGACCGTGTCTTGCTGGAGGAGGAACGGTGTTGGTGGTCGAGCAATGGTCTGCAGAAGAGTTTCTGGACAGAGGCTTCGACATATTTGGGTCATCCTATTAAAAGGTTATCAACTGCTGTGATTGGAGGTAAAACTCTATTGGAAGATAGGTCTGGTAGTGTCACTTCGGTTGAGGCTTCGATGAGGGAGCTATTTGACTCTCAGCAGGTGGAGAGTTTTGGACAGACCTTAGATGTATCGCAGCGGGTGGAGAGTGATGCTACTCCACATTGGGTGAAGATTACTCCAGATCATACTACATTGTTTGGGATTCCAGCCGAGGTGACACAGCTTGGAGATCATTTGGTTTTGGATGCAGATGATGAGTTGGGTTTTGATTCGAGTGTAGCTGGTAGACGTAGTTTAGATATGGTCATTGATTCACCTCAGGTGGAGGTGTTTGAGGCCATTGGAGGTGCTATCAGCTGCAGAGTTGATGATATTAAAGGAGGGTTGCGAACTCTTCTATTGGATTGAGGCCGTTGGCGGCCATTTGGGTGAACTACGTTCGACTTGATTCCTTGGGCAAGAGGATACGCAGACAGTCTTTATGATGCAGCCGGGTTAGATTTTGATGGGGTAAGATCGATTTGGTGAGTTGATACCGAAAAGAGTGTTTGCATTCTCGTTTGGGTCTCGACTTGTTGAGGATTGAGTCCGTTGTCGTGAATTGTTTCACTTCGTCCTGGATGCAACAAGTGGGACATTTGTTTGGTTGGTGTCGGCTCAGTTTTGGGAAAACTTCACCGAGGTGGAGAATTGTTGATTGATGGATTACGTGGGGGGATCACAGGAGTCCATGAGCATAGGTGTTGACGTGGGAGAATTGCAGGACGCTGAAGCACGTGTGGGGGCCGCACGAAGTGTGAATGTGGTCTCATTTCCAATTGGGAGGCTAGGACGCATGGGGGCCACATCACGTGAAGTGTTGAGGTGTTTCTGTTGCTCGCGACTTCTGGCCCACCTGATCTCATATTGTTATAAATATTTGGCTGCAGCCTTTCCTAGGGTTTGTGCAAGTACTAGGGGGAAGAGAATATTTGTGCGGCTGTGCAAAGGGGGCTCGGAAAATAAAACAGTGGGCATGTGCAAAGAATTTCTTTTGCGGATAGTAGTGTGGGGAAATTGAATTTTTGGCTGTGAATTTTTTCGGCTGAGTGCAGAGGAGATTTTTTGTGTGCAGTGCTTTTGTTTTGCTTTTGAGAGATAATTGTGTAAGAGGTTTGAGAATTTGTGTGAGGGTTTAGATTGAGTGATTGTAAACCCTAGTTGTATTCTCTCCTCTCTAATAGTAGATCTCCCCCCCCCTCCTTGCCCCGTGGACGTAGGCAATTTGCCGAACCACGTAAAATTGGTTTATTTGTGTTTGTGGTCATTGTAATAGTTTTAGGATCTCTCGACAAGTCAGTCCTAGAACTGATGAGAGGAAGAGCCGATATCTCACTTTGTTGAGATATTCGCTTCAGATTCTTGTCTCCTTGGTGAGACGGGAATTCTTATTGGGATCTTTCTCTATTATTGTGCACTAGAAACTCTGCCGAAATTTCCGCTGCGCACAACAAAAAACATATCAGATATAACAAGAATAAAAGGGTAAAAGAATTAACCCGCTAGAGAAAGAAACTAGAGAGAAAATCGAGCGAGAGGATTTTAGAAAGTGTCTTGAGATCGTTAGGGCTTTAGGAGATTGTAGCTAAGACTAGGGTTGAGCAAAGCTTGGCTTAGACGGAATAAACCGGCCGAAGCGATCAAAGTCTATCGGCTCAGTTCGGTTTTAAAATTTTCGTTTGGTTTAAAACCGAACCCACTGAACCCACTTGCAGCAAATAAGATGCTTCAAACTAAACCCATGTATATTCCTAATCCTTATGCAGCTGTTATTATGGCAGTTCATCTCATGTAAAAAAAACCGGGGTCATACTTTTTTATCAATGATTCAACATGAATTAGGCATGGAAACTTCAGTTCATAACTGGTGCATTTTAGAATTGGCTGGGGTCGGGACCAAATGTAAACCTCTACACGAATTACCAATTGAACGTGGTGGCAAAGAAGTTCAAGTCTGAGAGTCTTGGAAAACACTTTTAAGCATTGTATTCATTTCCGACGACATTCCTGAAATTAAGCAATACAAATACAACTAATTTCCTAGTTCCGTTGTGTTTGAGATCTTTATTAGGTGAGGGAGAGCTCAACACTTCACGTTATCAATACTTATGCCGATTGTAGTCCAAAACCGAATCAACCCGAACCGAGCTGACCAAACCAATTTAGGTCAGGATCGGTTCGGTTTCGGTTGTGGTACTCATTTGATGTCAGCACAAATCCTGAAATCTAATGATCCAATGTCCGATATTCATTTAGTGCATATTAAATACCATGCACACAGGTGCACTTGATACTTCCAACCAAGACCTCATAAACCACAGCGTGCCAGTCTGCCAGATACAAGAGCTCAGGATCTTTATCTCTCGAAAGCTCTATTGTTCCTTCAGCATGTTTCAGCTGTTTCATGCTGACAACCTGTTCACCTATGGGTGGCAAACTTGCACCAGTGCCATGGGCACCAACCTGAAAATGAACGACTATGAGAACACATCGGTTGTTGAATATTTCTCAAATCAGTGAAAGAAATTTCAAGCCAGCATTAATGTCTGTAACAATTGATAGCATTTAGTGTTTGATACATAAAAGGAGGGGAAGAAATTGCTTAAGGAGAACAAGAATGCAATCGGATGAGAAAGGTGACGAAGAAGAATTAACGAATACAGATAGACGTCAAATACTCATAATCCACATTTATATCAAAATATCGCCTAAACTCGTGACCTTCAAAAATATAAAAAGTGCATATACAGATATAAGCCAAAGTGTCACGCAGAGATACAATGTACAGATGATCAGTCTAGCTCACATATTTCTATGACGGTATAACCAGGTCACTGAATGCAATGCTCACGCCAAAATGTGGTGACATAAAAATCATCTCCTACAATCCAATTTCCATCCCTGATAATTCCTCAATACGAGTCTTTGTAATTTCCCCTACTAGGAATACACACGCTAGTTTCTCCCGTAAAACTTCAAACCTTCATAGAACCAAAAAAAATGTAACAAAAAAATGTAACAATCAATTATATATTAGTACATTTTGAAAAGAAATGTGCCATGGATCACACTGAAGTGTGCTAAGAAGCAAAGCAATTGACGTGCAGCAAGTACAGCACTTATTCAGCATAGCATAGTGCTACATACTTATACAGGGCCTATTTGTTTCGAGTGGAAAAGGGTGGAAACCCCATCTCCGGGACCTACGCATACTGGAAAAGGTACTGTTTTCCTAGAATTATTTTCTATTCCTTTGTCTGTTTAACCTAAAAATTATAGAAAGATGGCTTCCATTGGTTTCCTAAGCAAAAAATGCTTTATGGAAATGCCATTTCATAGCATTTTGACTCAGAAACAGGTGGAAGCGGTGGAAAGCAACCATTTATGCATTAAAATAATGGTACACATGGGTGATTGTGCAAGTTTTTTGCCAACCCATTTCTTTCTCTCTCCTTTTCTACAAATGGTGGTTTCTTGTTTTTAAAAAAGAAAAGTAATTTTCAAAATAAACCTTTTTCAAAAGAATATAACAGTTTTGAAATAAAATTAGCAATTTCGACCTTGTTTTTGGCCAGCTCATTACTGCTGGCAGAAAAAAGGTCGGAATTGTAAAAATAAGATTGGTAATTACAGGAGACCATTAGTCCCGTGTAATTACAAAGTGCTAATCGTTTATTCCCGTGACCCTCTTTCTATCTCTTCATTACCTTTAATCTCTTCATTCCCGTGACCCTCTTTCTATCTCTTCATTACCCCCTCTCTCTCTCTCTCTCTCTCTCTCTCTCTCTCTCTCTTCCTAAATTTTCTCGCCCGTGTCCACGAGCCGCCGCAGCCGCCGACCACCCTGAGTCTGAGTTGATTAAGGTGAACTTTTTCGATTTTTGTTGTAATTTTTTTATATTTTAAAAATCAACCGTGAATTCCTTGGGTAGTTAATCGGATAATTAGCGGGCACTAATTACACAGGACTAGTACTCCTATGAAATTAAAAACGCACTTCAGCAAAATTGACCGTTTTCTGCCATCGTAGGCAAAAAACTATCGAAATTGCTAATTGGGAAACGGTCGATGTTGCCTATTTTATTTAAATACGATTCATTTTAAAAATTTATCCTTTTAAAAATTCATCCAATCATTGGATTTGCCAGAAATGATCTTTCACACATAAAAAAGGGGGGGAAATGAAAAAAGCAAGGAAAACTCATTTCCATGAAACATCAATGAAATGGCCAAAAAGTGCTTTCTACAGTGGGAAAGGGGTTTCATTTCTTAGGGGGAAGCGCTAGGTTACTCGGACACAGCGTATTGGGTGTGGTGTCTATGTCCGACACGTATCGAATATGGATTCTCCAGGGACACGCCATGAACACGTGTGGTTCCAAGCTAAATACCAATTTCCCCATTTCTTATACCTTAAACTAGTTTCTTTGTTAATATCGGGTTCAAAATCATAGTCTTATTTAACTTGATTCTTAATTGTTATAGATAATAGAAAGAAACATACAAATGCTATATGTATTTTAATTCAGTATTTGATCTAATATAAATTTTACACACAGACAAACATAGCCCGTGGTCTTAGAGTTTAATTTTTAAAGCTAACAACATTACATATAGAATTGGCCACTAAAATATCATCGTGCTAATTCAATTTGAAGATAGAATATATGAAAACTTCTGATACAAAAGCAAAACTCAGTATCTATGTTTCATAGTTAGATGAAGTTTTTGGCAGACAAGTGAAACATGTAACAGACTCTGAAGAGCTAAAAGATGGTTCTTTAAAGAATATTAGAAGCCTTATAAATATGATCATCAACATCATTATCCAAACATGCTTTCACCATATGAGGTTAGTTATGCACTGAAAAGGCTCGGGTTTGATCGCACCTTTCTAAAGACGATATTTGTGGAATTGGGAGCTGGAATTGGTCGCGTTAGTCGTGATCTACGACCACGAATTTCGATCGTGTCCCCAGCGAGTTCACTTCAGAGATTTTTAAGAAAGAATTCAAAGTGTTATGATGTCCAGAGTTCTTAAATTTCCCCCAGTGAAGCGAACTCTCTCACAATGAGGGTACAGGACAACTAATGCGCGCATCACCGTATATGAATTTCAAGTGCCAGAATAATCCCCAGCAGATCGCAGTGGGTCATCTCCCAATATCGAAAATGGCTAAGAGTCGGGATAAATCGGCCAAGTGTTGCGGGAAAAATTGGTTAAGTCATAAGTGTTTGTCAAAATTGACCCAGTGTTGATAAGATTAGCTCTACTCTGGGGATCAGTCACTCAGTTTGTGTGCAAGATTGGCTTATTTGCAAATAGTGATTTAAAGGGACTTGTGTGGCCTACGGTTCAGCTAATTTCTACTAAATTTGTATTGACATGAATCTTATTACCATTTCACAGCTTGATTACGACGAGTTAATTGAGGTTAATTCAGAACGATCAAATTGTTTGCCCACAAGAGATGATAACTTACATTAATATACTGAAAATTACATCCTTACATTGGTTGGGTAATAAAACAAATGAAGAGACAGAAGCAAAAAAAGATACCGTGGGAGCCGGGCCTCTTACTGCCGCACCAGGCCTTCATCGCTACCGCCCTTCTACGGCCGCCATCTGCTCCTGGCAAGCATTCTCTCGCTTTCCTTGATTCGTTCGGCCAAAGCTGCCTTATCTCCAACCGTTGCCGCCTTCTTCTCTGCGACGGCCAGCTCGACCTGGTTCTGCTCTTGAAGGAGCTTAGCTACTTCCTCCTCAAGAAGATAGTCCTTCACCCACTGCTCCACGATAATCTTCTGCGCCCGTACCATCATGGTCTGCGCATTCAGAACCGCATTCTCCGCCGTCTCCTTCGCGAGAGACTTGGCCTCGCGAGCATTAGATATTTGGTCAGCCCGGGCCTGGAGCTGGGTTACCTCCTCAGAAAGAGCTTCCAGAGCCTTCCGAGCTGCTCCTCGCTGCGCTCCAGCCTCCTCAGCTAAAGGAGCAGAGCATGCCGCCCGGAGGCTCCTCCACTCCTCCGCCGCACTCATGAAACCACCCACTACGCGCTGCAGAGCCAGGACCACGACGGCCTTTCCACCGGCGATCTCGACATTACGGATAGAGTTGTGCAGCAGTTCCTCCAGTGAGGAAGGAGAGGTCGGGTTCCCTTTCAGAACGAGCCCGACGCAACTATTCAGGCACTGATAGAATGCAGCTACAAAAGGCATCCTCGAACAACGAAAGGATCGTCGGTTTCCTCAATCGGCATTCCGTCTACCAACTTCTTTGTCCTCCGAGACTCTCTCCCCGATTCTCCTCGACGTTATCTTGCTTCATCGAAAATCTTGATCGGCAAGCCCGAAGACCACGCACCTTCAGCCTCGTCGCCACCATATTCGGATGCTTCTCAGCACCGTACCCGAGGGCTCTGTCTCGATCGCTGTCGGAGTCCGACGACTCCTCGGACGAACTGTAGCTCCCCTCCCTCTCGCTGCCGACGAGATGGGGCCACGAGCGGCGGCAACTCCGATCGAGGAGAGATCGAGAAACGACGACGAGTTAGGGTTTTTGAGAGCTGGGGATGGTGGATCCCCGAATGTCTGAGAAAAAAAGGGGGAAGTCGGCGTTTGGATTTTTTTTAGGGCTTTTTGTTTTTAGGTCCATTTGTTTACCTAGCTTTATTTTTAAACCCAAGAATATTTAGTTGTATCTTTAAACCTAATTTTTTTTTTGTATTTATCTTTAAACCCAATTTCAAAATATAATACTCTCATATGTGGGTCTCCCTATATAAGGAAATTGGGTTTAAAGATAAAAACAAAAAGAAAGTTGGGTTTAAAGATACAACTAATAATACTTAGGTTTAAAGATAAAGCTAGGTAAACAAATGGACCTAAAAACAAAAAGGCCTTTTTTTTATAGAAACCGTCTTACAAATAAGACCTTTACTAAGTTTCTATTTATATGTTAACCACTTCGAAAGTGTATTTGCCTTGCAATTAATAATTTCCTAGTTATTTAGGACGGCTCTAACCGAGTTGGTAAGCTATCTATGAGTAAGTACCTAAGGTCTCAAGTTCGACACTTCTGGGAAATACCAACACATCAAACACTCCTAATTAAATCTAAACATTAATATAAAATGAATAATGCGTCTAAATGTGAGTTTTAAAAGAGTACTTAAGTATAGCGCATTTTCCCATTCAGTGAATTTTTAAAAAGTATTTAAGTATAACACATTTTTCCATTCATGCAATTTTTACTTCCCGCATAACTAAAATGAAAATACATCAAACGCTCATAATTAAATCTAAACATTAATATAATGAGTCACGTGACTGAATGTAAATTTTTTAAAAAAATATTTAAGTATAACACATTTTTCCATTCATGCAATGTCTACTTCCCGCATAATTAAAATGAAAATACATCAAAACGCTCCTAATTAAATCTAAACATTAATAAAATGAGCCATGTGATGAGAGTTTTTAAAGAGTATTTAAGTAAAACACATTTTTTACATTCATGGAATATTTACCTACCTCATGATTAAAATGAAAATACATCAAACGATGCTAATTAAATCTAAACGTTAATAAAATGAGTCACGTGACTGAATGTGAGTTTTTAAAGAGTATTGAAGTATAACACGTTTTTCCGTTCATGCAATGTTTACTTCCCGCATAACTAAAGTGAAAATTACATCGAACGCAATTTATTCAGAGGGGGGTTACAGTGACATCTCCTCCCCCAGAAATAAAACCCCTAGCAAGGCCAAGGGATACACTCAATAAAATGAGACAAAGTTTATCAACAACAAATGTCGATATCACCTTCAGTTCGGTTGATGATCAAGCGGAAGACACTGCACTCTGTACAGCAACTGCAGAGTTGGCAAGCAAAAGCTCAGAAGAGTATTTCAAAGAGAAGCCTCAAGCTGTTGTGGGAATAACTTTTCCAGCATGCCATTTGAGAGAATCCTGTTCGGGTCGAGCTCTCTTCGAGCTTTATTGTAAGCATCGACAGGAAACCGCTTCCTTAGCCTTGCTTGAAGTTCTGCAAGTTCTTCTTTGTTCTTCGGCACCTACAACAGAACAATTAATACAGGAGTTATAGGAAAAATTTTATTGCAAAATCTAGAAAGCTTGTAGCTGTGTGTGTGAACAAGATATATAAAAGAAACGTGCAAGTTAAAATAAGTATTTTTTGTACATATACCCTTTAACCTGCCCACATGAGCCAAAAAATAAATAAATCTCAGTATTCGCAGAACTACCCCATTCATCAACATTAGAAAGAGATAGCCATCACATCTAATCACATCTAATGTAGCTACTTATCAAACATTTTTTAGATTAGATCTCGACTGATTTCACAAAGGATAAAACAGTAAAAATATAATCCTTAACCATTCGATAAGTAACAACATCAAACTGGGGGACTATTTTATTTTTCCAATGTTGATGAATTGGGGGTAGTTTTGCAAATACTGAGATTCGCAGGTTAATTTTGTACGTATGGCTGATTTAAACAGTATGTATACAAAAAAAAACCTAGAATAAAATGCACATTATAAAAAACCCCACAATAGTTCATAATGTAAGAACTCCATCTAACCATATTTTGAATTTCTAGCCAAATAATCATAATTTTTTTTTGATATAATCATCAATTTTCAATATGCTAATCATATAGATTGTTAATAAGAGAGTGCATACAAATGTCGTATCACAATACCATAGTTTCTGGATCCAAGTTAATTTAATAGAAATAGAAATGGAAGGGGGAAAACTCACATTTGAAACCTTAGAAAGATTTTATGTTAATCTTACAAACCTTAGGAGGATTTTTGTAATTATCCTAATATACATTCAGCCTATTTGATCACTAACGACTCTGAGAAGAGGAAACCAAGCACCGTAAACAACTGATATCATTTCCTGAGACAAAAAGTACAGAATGTAGCTACCCTTGACAAAAAGAAATATTGCATGCCTATCAAAGTGCTAAAAGCAAATTAATAAGCTCATTACATGATTCCAGTTCAGGGAATCCAATAAGAGTAGTTCCTTTCTTTTAGCACGAGTAGTATTTAGTAGAATCAATGTTTGAAGAAGTTTTTTTGAAACTCGCTTCGAAACTTGCTTTGCAACTTTTTGAAGGTTAAATGCTTTGAAACTCCAAAGTGAAACTATGTATCCCTTGAAGCTTACGCCTTAGCCTTCTAAGGTGTGTGCTTCGCACTTCATAAAGCTCTTTTCTTTTGAAGCGCACACTTTAGACAACATAGAAGGATATAAAAGAATTTTTGACTAACATTAAAATGTCATTATGTATTTCCAATATGACCATATGATCATATCATATCATACTCTCTTTAAAAGCACGAGTTCGGAAAAATCTTTTGGTAGACAAAAATGCCATTGAAATTCAAATTAATCAATTAAGTAAGAGTAAGTTGATAAATTGACGAATTCTTATTGGATATACATAGTATGAATATAAGAATATAGTTTAAATTAAAATATAAACCTAAATGAAATTATTAAATGTCAAATTTACAAATGTATATAAGATGAATAGCGTATATGCAAAAACCAAACAAATTAGTGAGACAAATAATGTCCGCCCCAGAGGTTGAACCCCGGAACAACGCAGACCTACAAATGTACATAATGTGGACGAGGTATTTGCAAAATCCACCAAACAAATTAAAGAGACAAAACCGTTCTGAAAATTATAAAAAATAAAAATTAAAACAAATGGCTGCGATATGAGGACACAACGTGGCGATCTCTCACCAACTAAAATTCAAGTAGTTCACGGTACTACATAATTAGTTTCAAAGTTTAATTATACTATTATTATTTAAATAGAACTCTATTTACAATTGTTATCCTCTCACATGCAATATCACATACTAATGTTTATAAGCCAAGAAACTATAACAATTTCCGTAGCGCTTTCATCTCCTTCTACATATATTTTCCTTTGTTATTTTCTTCTTATTAGATTAGATTAGATTATTTTAACGCAATTAATTATATTGTATATTTAATTTTTTCATATCAAGAAATATCAACAATTTTCACAACACTTTCGTCTATTTTCTTCTTATTAGATTAGATTAGATTATTTTAAAGCAAGTAATTATACTGTATGTTTGATCTTTTTTTCAGATCAGAAATTACAATAATTTTCATAGCACTTTTATCTCCTTCAACAAATATGTCTCTTTGTTATTTTTTTCTTATTAGATTAGATTAGATTGTTTAAAAATTATGAATTATGAAATTGCAACAATTTTCACATCATTTCATCCATTTTCTTCGTATTAGATTAGATTAGATTATTTTAAAGCAATTACTTATATTGTATGTTTGATCTTTTTTTCAGATCACAAAGTTTAATTATACTATTATTATTTAAATAGATATTGTTTGTATAAAAATCAAAGAGAATATCACACATATCTTAGATCTCAATGGCAATTATAATATTTACACATGGGTGTTAGTTAAAATAAATTTCATGTATGGGCTTAACTTATATAATCCTACTTTAACCAAATTAGATAATTTAATTTTTTTAACACTCAAACTCTTCCACATAACCAAAACAGAATAGCAATGCTATATATATATATATATATATATACATAGGACCACAGATATCTTAAAAATGAACAAAGAAAACCACACAAATAAAAAACATATTAATAACCCACACGCACCCACTGTTTTCAAAACCACCATTCTCTATCTCCATCTATTATATATCCACAAACCAAATTAAGCTGCTAGAATTTCTCCTCACCAACCACGTCATTGATCAACCCTCTTTTTTTCTTTGTACTTAAATTGTATAACATTCATTGCGATGAGGACTCACATGGGTCCTCTGCCTGCCTTGAACGTCCAACAAAAAAAATAATGTACTAAGCCTTGTAGTTAATTAATAATGAGATCTCATCACTATAAACAAACTAAGTAAAGATTAATAATTTTTAAGAATGTATTATGTTCCCCTATCTTTCACTGCAAACTTGTTAGTTGTTTATTCATGACCCCAAGAGATTTTCAAAATAATCATCTATTTCATAATTTTTTTAAAAATGTTTAAATAAAATTTATGACAAATGTAACAATCCATGTTTATAGATTTTAACTTAAAATGAATCTGACTTATTTTATAGTAAGAAAATAAACAAAAAAGTAATTTTGATATTTAACCACGTGCATTGCACGTGCACAAGAACTAGTTGTAAACAAAATATACATGTTATGCACGTAGCATAGTTTATTATGATTCGTTTCTATATTTCACATATTTAATTCTTATTTACTAATCAGGACATGAATGTAATTATTATACCACTATATATTATATGCTCATAATTTTTACAAATTTAAAATTGAAATACTTAAACTCATGAAGCTTACGCCTCATTCTTTGAAACTTACGTCTCACTTCATCAAACAGTCTGGCGCTTCGCCTTGCTCTTTCCTTTTTTTAAACATTGAGTAGAATGACAATTAAAATAAGTAGCACCCTTGAATTTGTGGTTAGTACCTCAATTTTAGCCCAATGCTCATAGGCAGAATATTCATCCCAGAGCATGCTTTGGGTCAGACGTCGATAATCAAAAAAATCTTCCGTGATCTCCTTTCTCTGACGAGGATCCGTTGTTGGCAGGTACATGATTATACCTATCTACGAGACACAAGTACATGTAGCAGATAAGTAAAGTGTAGCAGATAAGTAAATTGCATCAGAAAATAAAATGGAAAATTATGTGAGTGCAAAAGGAAACTCAAAAGAAACCTAAAAGTCGTTACAACAAAACACAATATAAATGTAACATAAACAACAACAAGAAAAGGCTTTATCTTCAAATCCACAACATGCATCCTACTCTTCCATTCAGATTTATTAAGGGTTATTCCTCCATTTTAATCCCTGTCATATTCTTCTTATTGCTTCCAACCAAGTTCTTTTAGGCTTACCTCGAGTCCTCCTTTCTCCATTAATTATAATCTTATCACTTATTCTAATATGTACAATTACCATATCAAAAGCTTCCTTGCATTTTATCCATAATAGAAGCAACCCTAACTTCCCACAATATAACCATAAAATGCATCCGCAAAAGTAAAAGAGATAAAATAAACTATAAATTACCCATGAGAATATATCATCTTCCCCTGAGCTCGATGCTGGACTCATGAGGCTCTTGCTTCTCGCTGTCCAGCGCTGCTCTATAGGAGCCGGTGCTGGCACTTCTTCATTCTTTATAAGTTTCAATAGCTCTTCTATGTAATCCAAATCTCTCATACTTGGCTTTGAAAGTGTCCCTGAAGGGAAACAGGTCTCTGAGACCCATTGCTGTCCTCCGCAATCGAAGCCCAGTATTTCATCGCTCCATCCAATGCGATATCCTTCAGATTTCTTCCAGTACTCAGCTTCAGCCTGGTTGATCTTTATGACATGATCTTTGTTTAGAGGATCAAGGGAAAGAAGCTTGTCCCTCAGCTCGGTAAATGAAAGCTGGCTTATGGTTGCTTCATCGTTAGTTTCTTCAGGCCTGCAAGTGTCTATAAGCTTGAATGACTAGATGTATCTAGCAGATGCTTATTACTTAACGCATCAAAATTAACTCTAGGAAAATCAATAATTTAGATAGGGTAGATTTCGCAAGACTATAAGCTTGAATGCTAGATGTATTTAACAGATGCACAGAACCATAAATTATTCTTATCAGAAAAAATTTCACAAATTTTCAAATTTGCAGACATGTGCCACAATCTGTTAGTCACAGTAATTTAGTAAAAAAAATTCATAGCATTTTTCTCTAATAAAAATAGTTTATGGGTTTTTTTCACTGAACCTCTAAAAAGTGCATGGTAGTTTTGTGAAATTTATCCATTTAGTTAAATACCCACTAATTTTTTCCCAGACGTGATTTACCACCTTATTAGCTGAGCTGAAACTCATACCATAAAACAAGTGCACATTATAGATAACCAATAAGCTTGCCTGTATTTTTTGATCGACTCGCAGTAAAGATCGAGAACATGCTGTAATGCTTCATCTTGCCCATATTTAGACAGGGTCTTTGGCGTTTTCCACTTTGAAAGAGGATTGCTCTCTACAACTACGACCGTGTCTGTGTATGGGATCCACAAATATTTCACATGCTTGTTTTCAGATAGCCGCTTCCTGGAAAAAAAAGAGAGAGAATGGAAGAATAAGATCATTAATTTTTATAATAAGAGTCAGCAATCTTGAGAAATAAAGAATGCAGTAAAATGATTTACTAAGTGATTTCAAGAAGTGAATATGTTAAACGAAGGTGTACTTGTGATTTTTCCTGATTTCATTGATATTTGAAATGAAAGTGTGCTCGACAAGCTCATGCCGGTCAACACATTGAATGGTGACTTCTGCAACCACACCAAGACCACCTAGACCACAGCGCGCTAGATAAAAGAGTTCAGGGTCTTTCTCTTTCGAAAGCTCTATTGTTCCCTTAGCAGGCGTCACCAGTTTCATGCTAACAACCTGTTCATCTACGGGAGGCAATCTTGCACCGGTACCGTGTGCACCAACCTAAGGAATATGAAAATCGATCAGTTTTTGAATATTTCTGAATTAGTGAAAGAGAATTAAAACTCAAAAGTCAAAACTGATGTCTGTGACAACAAGTAGCATTTAGTATTTGAAACATAAAAAAGGAAAAAGCGTAACAAGAAACGCCAGAAGATTATAAAAAGGTGACAAAGAAGAATTAACGACAGAAAGAAACAAATGTATGCAGAGACATCACATGCATATCATCCACATTTAAATCAAATTTTCTATTTAAACTCTGGAGTTTAGAAAATATAAAAGGTTCATATAAAAATGTAAGCCAAATGTCACACTATGGGAATACAACTTACTAATGACCATAATGCAGTCTTGATTTCTGTCTAGCTAACATATTTCAACAACCAGCTCACAATGTCGTGACATAAGAATCATATCCTACGATCCATTTCCGTCCTACTTGTTCTTAATAGGCAATAGCATACTTATTCTTCACTGCTTTGTTTTAATTCCCCATATGCGTCTTTGTAATTCCCCTTACTAGGACTATACACACTGCTAGTCTCTCTATCCAATGCAACTCTTCAAGCTGACTGTCTCTATCCATCATCCATCCCTTACTATCTCAAATCTTCACAGAACCAAGAAAGAAAACAAACGTAATTATCTATTCAATACATGTGTAAATATCGAAAAGAAGTGTATGCCATGGAACACAACACACGCTAGCGTGATAAGAAGCAAAGCAATTGCTTCCCAGCACAGCAAATATAGCACTTGCTCTGCATAGCATATCGCTGCGTTTATATCGAGTAGGCTACGCTGAACACTTCCAGAGCGCAGAATAGCTACACTATGCTTTTTTGTATTTTACGACTATAGGTCACAGTTACTGCCCCCTTCCCCTGATGATGCGGATACATTATGCATTTACGGGGCCATCTTGCCTACGTCTCTGACATAAGGTGGATTTTTTAACTTTTAAAGCTAACAACGTTACCCAAAGAACTGCCAGACAAAATAGAGTTGTACCAATTCAATTTGAAGACAGAACAAGTAAACATTTCTGATTCAAAAACAAAAGCCAGTGTGCTCCTATGGGTTAATAATAGTTAGCTGAGAGGATGAACATATCTGATTCAAAAATTCAAAAGCTACGGTCGATGATGTCATTTGAGGAGGAGCGTGGGGGAAAACCCCCCAAAAAAAAAATTTCTCGACGCACCTGAACAAAGCCTCCGACCTGCTGCTCCCGGATCGAGGCGAAGTTCTGCAGCGTCAGCCCGTGCTCCTTCAGCCCATCAACAAACCTGCTAAACCCTAGCCAGCCTCAACCCCCCCCATAACCCCTTTCTTCTCCTGTCCGACCTCAACCACCCGCGTCATCAGCGCCAGGTTTCACCCATGCCGGCCCTCATCAGGCCCGCATCCCGCTTCGGGGACAGCCGGAGCCCACGGGCGGATCTTCTGCCCCTTCTACGGGGGCCTCCGCTAGACCAGGGCCTCGAGCTCCGAGGTTTCGCTGGAGAAGCGGCGGGTGTGGACCTCTGGTCCCGCTCCAGTTGGAGACTGGCGGGAGCGGTCCGTCGGGAGGGGGCGGTAGACGGAACGGGACGGCCTCTTGCTGCTTCGCGTCGGCGGGAAGGAAGGGAGTAGTAGTGGCCGCGCGGACGGCAACGAGGGCGGCGTAGCCCAGGTATTTTCTTGATTCCGGCCGGAGGCGGGGTAGGGGCGGAGAGCAGGGAGCGCGGCGGGGTCAGGAGGCCGGGAGGGGAGGCGGAGGAGGTGCCTCGCTGCGGCATCCTCGATAGACCAGCGCCAGCATTTTATTAGCGACGGCGTTGTTGACGGAGGCAGTGAGCGTTTGTGTATTTTGTTGCATGCTGAGAATGAGTGAGGGTGGCCTGAGTCTTGCTGTTGCCCAAATAGCCATCGGAAAATAGTGGGGCCCACTTTAGCCAGCGCTGGTATACACATTTTTATTGGATAATTAGCATGTTAAACGTCTATCATTTTCGAGTTGGGGTAGGATGCCGTCAAGTAGCATTCTCTCTGTTTATCAAAACCAGCTAAAAACTGTTAAGCTAACTGAAAGTTATGAAATTATAGCTGAAAGCTGATAGCTGTGTAGCTAGCTAATTGAAGTAGAGCTGTTTGGCAAAAGTAGCTGTACAACTAGCTTAAATTTGTTAAATGACTAAAGAGCTAGGGTTTTTTGGATGGGGTAGTAGCTTTCATTTGCCCTAATTATTAGCGGCAAAAACGAAAGAAAAAAAATTAACAGATCCTTCCCAAAGACAAACGCTACTTGAGGTAGCTTTCCAACAGCTACTTGCAAAAGACACAATCTCCAAAATAATCTCCTCCTATTTTTTGTTACCAAACAGCTCTACTAGCTTATTAAACAAGTCAATAAGACATAATCTCTTAGATAAGACACAATCTCTTGTTGCCAAACAGTGCCTAAATATTATCATCGACTTAAATTTTAAACTCGATATCGAAATGCTTAGAAATAAAGTTTTCGAAATTTATCGATGTGTTTTGAATCATATATTATGGGGCAGAAGATTAGGCAAACGCACAAAAAATACAGAAACGTTTATTTTTATAATATATGTTAAGTGGGTGAAATATGATGAAATTCTTTAAATTTTTATTTCTAGAAAGTTTACGAGTTGTAGAGCACATCCAACAATTTCGTATTCTAATTTCAGCATATTTATTTTCAATTCGGGTTGACATAATAATAGCTTAGGTCTTTTAATGTAATCTCCCAAGATGCAAGCCTTCGATTTAGAAGAAAAAAGTTAAAAAAAAAACGATGCAGGAAAGAGAGAGGAAGACTCCTAGGGTATTTTACCCTTTCTAATAGGAAGTAAAAAATATTAAGTGAAAATAATATTTTAACTCATGGGAAATGCTAAGGGGGCCAGTCAAGCAGCTCTCAAAATTAGGATTAGGATAAAATTTTTATCCCCTAAGGTGATGCTATAAAAAATAGCAATAACAATAGATAAAAAAACATCCACTTAGGGGATAAAAATTTGAAAAGATATGATAGATTGAAAATAAATGTCACTGTATAAATTAAAGTAATTGCATATAATTTTACTAATATGTTGGAGCTAGTAAAAATACATAAATAATATTAATTGATAGAAGACACATAAAATTGATAAAAGACTATAACATAATAGCTTATAATTAATTGATTATAATTTACATATACTAATCTTTGATGTCAATAATATTTATGGAGTAAAAATACGATGAATTATGTATGGAGAAACTATTAGAAAGTTTAAAGATATCCTTCAAAAGAATCAATTTGTTTCCACTTAAAATGCAGAAGCGAAGGAAATAAACCCCAAAAATTAAAAATGTTCATGAATCACTTGAATTGACATTGATAAAAGGCATATCTACCAAATAAGCACCAATTTGAGTTCCCTTGGATAACATATTGAACAACTTTTTCTTAATCAAAGAAGCATTCTCCACGGAAGATACAATAAAAATTAGTAAGTATTTATAAATTTTAATACTTTATTCTTCAAATGCTAAAAGAGTCATAAGCTTATTATAAAATTATATATAAACAATATTACAAAAAAAACTAAATGAAGGCATTAATCAACTATGTTGCCATATATAACAAGCCACATAAGAGGAGAGAAATCACTAACGGACAAAAGATATACACATGATACATATTTATAATAAAATAAGGAAAAATTTAAAATCGATCTTTCTTTTCTTATATAGTGGCACGATTCTGCGTGTAACTTTATTTAAGGATAAAACTACTAACGAATGATCAATTCTTGAAGACATGATTAAATAGAAGTGGGTAATAGCACCATCAAAATTTGAAATTTCTAAATATGAAGGTAACACATTAATAAAATTCATATAAATGCCACTAAACATGAAATTCACCTTATATTTGTCTCAAGTTTGTACAAGAGATATGCATGTCATCGTAAATTGTGTCAATAACATATATTAATCCAAAAATACAACTTACTGAAAAATAAGAGAATAGTAAGTAAACCAAGCAAAACATCCATATAATCAATAAATAAAAATATTAAATTTTTACACTAATATGCAAGGCTCATTCAGAACAAGTTGTCATGATAATAACATCTCCATCAATGCTCTTTACAGATGCAACATAAATTCAAATTATTGATAATGCAACCATCAAGGATTCGAAAGACGTATAATCCTACAAGACGTACTTTTAAAATTTCCCAATTAAATCTAACAATAGTTTACCAATAAATACATACACACTCTCATGTCTTTAAAGCAAAGATAACTACCATTTGCAATAGAATTGAGTTTTGGTTCTATGCATACAAAGACTGCAATAAGAAAATGGTTAGAGATTTTAATAATAAGTGTCCAAACATTAAATCTTGTAGAATCGCCAATGACGTAATACAAAGGTTACAAAATATATCTTCTTCATGAAATAAACATGTCAAAATCAAATATTAACATTATAATCTAAGGCAAATTGACAATGAAAAATAAAAGTATTTAGTTCAGATCAACTTGGAAAATGAGCAAAAGGTAACATTATTTGATGCACAACAGAGACTCTTATTGGTCGCACGACAAAAGAATTCATTAAAAAGAAAAAAGAAGTATATATTAACCTTATTTAAGTAATAAATTAGAAACACAAAAAAAATTCGTAGAATTGTTCAGAAAAAATATAGAGGTGGAGAAGGATTGATCTCAGCCTCAACAAAAAAAATAAAACATAAGGAATAAAAAAATTTAATAGTTTATAGAATAGTTTAATTTTTGAGTAATACTAGAAATCTTTAGAAAGAATTTTCGTGAACTTTTTTTTAGTATTTTTATATGCTTATGTGGATGCTTTCATCTCATAAAAGTATATTAGAGTTAGCATTAATCTTTAGTTCATGATTTTCTAAGTCTATTGAGTATTAGGAACAAACTCCATGTTCTCTTTTATCATTTTTTTAGACCATTAATAAATCATTTTGTCTTATTAGCCTTAATTATTAGTCTTTATTTTATAACACTATTTTTTCAAGTGTTTTTATTTTTCTAACACTATACTTTCTTAGGTCAAGCTTCGTTTCATGTCGGTCCAAATAACATGATAATTATAATTAGCTTGGGGTTATATTTCTTACATGTCAATCCAATTATCAACATAAAAATCTAAATTGGATGTTGATTATTCGAACAAACATCAAAGAAATTAAATAATCACAGTACTAAAGTTTAGAGACATAAGCGAGCAAAAACCATTAATGTGGAACCGAAGAACAAAGTTTAGTAAGTAAATAAACTAAAAATATTTAATCATGATATTTAACCACGTGCATTACACGTGCATTAAACCTAGTCATATATAAGTTTGTGTATACTGATTTACACAATGAATAAAAGATAGATGTTTGCGTCGAAAGTTGCTGTTTTCATTGCTATCGAATCTATTACAACTTTAGTCGTCATAATAAACTCGAATAAAATAAAAGGTTGATCTTTTTATAAGATCTCCTTACATAATAAAAATAAAAAAGAAGTTTACAACTTTATCAAACAAACGCAGAGATCGTTTATCAGTCTTCTGCTTGCGTGGGAACTTGGCCTGTGACGGGGATGTTGATATCCGTGGACCATCGTCGATCAGATCTGATTGCTGAAAAATTGGGCAGAGCTTCGTCGATTCGCGAAGGAATCAAGAAGCCGTAGCGCTTATCTCGGCAACAGCGAGATAATTGCTCTTTTTAAGATCACCACAACGGGGTAATCTTAAGGGACGAACATGAGAACTGCAGATCTGACGAGCTCATATTCTTTATGCCGACGAACTCGATCCGATCTCTCCTCCTCCTCTCTGAAATTCGTGCACCTTTTGATCTTCAATCCGGCAGGGCTTCGCCAACACTCGAGAATTCCAGATCTGAAAAAAGAGGCTCCAAGGGCTGTATTTATAGGCTTCAAGGAGATCCGGGCGGTTAAAACCGCACAACGGCGGATTTTGGGGGGCTGGAGACACCCTAGGGTGTCTCGCTTGTGTCGAGACACCTCGGGGTGTCTCAACTCAGGCTGAGACGTTCTTTTCCGTGCACTTGTCCGTTTTCGTCGTAATTTCTTCGTCCGAACTCGGATTTGAGTGATTCAAAGTGCATTGGAAAGCTGACGAGGAGTTCTATAAGCTCTGATGATTAGATCAATGTGGATTAAGTTGGGATAGGAGCGTCGCTTCACCTTTTGTAAGCGACGCGGGGCTCCCGATCGGTTCATATCCTCCTTATTCTGAAACTCCGTTACTTCA